AAACAAATCTGGAGTCTGGCAGAGTGGTTCAAGCAGTAAGAGCGCCTGCCTAGCAAGTGTGAGGCCCTAAGTTCAAAAACCAGTACTGCCAGGAAAAAAAAAAAAAAGGAAGGAAGGAATAAATAAATAAATCTGAATCATTCACAGGCCTCAGGTAAAACCAAATCCATTTGCAAAGATACATTGGGAACTATCAAGCCCTCTACAGTAAGAAAATACGTAATCCTGCCAGGCACCAGTGGCTCACACCTATAAACCTAGCTACTTGGGAGGCTGAGATCAGAAGGATCACAGTTCCAAGACAGCCTGGGAAAAATAACCAAAATAAGCAGTGTAAAAGGGGCAAGGGGCGTGGCTCAAGTACCTGCCTACCAAGCATGATGTCGTGAGTTCAAAATCCCAGTACTGCCCCCCTCCAAAAAAAAACAAATGAGAAAGAGAGAGAGGGAGAGAGAATATGAAGCCCTTGGGTCTGGCATTAAAGAACAGGTAAAAGGAGGATCCTATTAATTTACTCATTCAAGTACTCATTCAACAGACATAGGGAGCATCAACTATGATTCAGGCTTTGATTGAGAAGCTGGGAACACAGCTAAGGAAACAAAACACGTGATAAATAAAACACAAAAACTCCCACCGCATTGGACTTCATCTTCTAGTAGAAATAGTCAGTAAGGAAATCGTGAGTTAAAAGTACAGTACAATATTAACAAGATGTTGTGGAGAAAAACTAAGCTGGGGAGTCTAAGAACGGCTAGGTTAGTTTTAAGTGGAGTGGCTAGACGGCCTTGCTAGGATGTCAGGAAGAAAACTGTGCAAACTCCAAGTAAGCTGGAAAATCACTGAGTGAACCTAAGCACAGATATTCTAAAAGGATTCCTCAGCTGTGCTAATGAAAACAGACTCCACTGGGAAAGGACATGGAGGCTTTTTTCAAGGTTATTGTAATAATCCAGGTGTGAGATAATGATGGTGGCGTAGAAAGACTGGTATCAGTAGAGGCGGTGAGAAATAATCATATTCTGGATATATCTGAAGCCACAGCCAAAATGATGTTCTAATTAATTATGGGAGATAAGGGAAATAAAAAAAGCAAAGCCTCTAATATTTTGCTGTAAGTGAAAGGATGGATAGAAAGGACTCCAGGGAACAGGTTTTAGGGACAAGCTGATACTTTGGATTATCAACGTGTTATGTTGGAGATGCATAGGATGAGGGGGTATTCAGTAGGCATTTGGTTATAGAGCCAGAGAGAGTAAGTCACAGTGAGATACAAAGACAAAATCATCTGTCTAAAGATGGTACTGAAAGTCAGGAGAGAAAAATGCAATCAGTAATGCAGTTGAGTATTCTAAGAGAAAGAGCTAAATATTAGTGTCATGAGCACTAATATTTAGGGATGAGATAGGGAATAATTAAACAAAGAAACCAGGAAGGAAATGTCAATGAAGTAAAGAAGAAAACCAGGGAGTTTGGTGCCCTGGAGATCAAGTGAAGAAAATATTTCAGGAAACAGAATAAAGTATCTAGTGCTTCAGCTAAGGTCTCAAACAGCAATGTGAAGTTCATTTTCACTAGAAACAAAGGGATTTTGGTGCCAGTACATCCTGAGTGAGTGCTGCTCAGGACCAGTAAAGGAGAGACACAGCGGGTTCTAAAGGAGGGAAAGTTGTTCCATGCAGTCAGTGCTAACGCAGTCTCAGCCAGGTCCAGCCTTCAGTGACCCTACTGTGATGAAAGTGGTCTGGCCGCCTTCAAGATGTTTTCTGTGATGTTCATTTTCAGAAGTTTAATTATTGTGTATCTTTCTGTAGATCTCTTTGGGTTTCACGTAGGTTTTTGAATCTGTTTATGTTTCTTTGTCAATATAGGAGTGTTTCAGCCATTATTTCTTTTGGGGTATTTTTCCATCCCTTCCCTCGTCTCTTTCATATGGAGGTAGAAATCTGGGGGGTTAGGAGTGGCTAGGCTGTTCCTGATAACCAGCCATGGGCTCCCTGGTTAGACTCCAGTCCCACCCAGCAGGGATTAGGGGCATCTCGTGACCTCCTTTGCTGAGAGCCTACGGAAAGAGTCACTTTTTAATTTTTCCTTCCATAGTGTTTGGCTAGGGCAGAGCAGTTCCCATCTGAGTTTCTGTCTGCTTTTCTGTCTGGAGAGAGCAGGACTTGTTTGGGGCTATTGTGTGTATACCTATCAGCATTTCCAAACATCAGCTTCTTTGTTTCTAAGTCTAGATACATGTGGGAAAAAGACAATTCAAGGAACTGTGTCATTCTTCTCGTCCTGTATCCTAGCTTGTCAGCCTTCTCTCCTCCTTTCAGAATCTGTTTGTTTTACATATAAAGCTTTTCAATTTAGATTAAAAGACACAGTATAAAATTCATAGATTAAAAAATAAATCCTTAGGTTATAATTTCATTCAGTTCTTTATGTGAGGACATAATGAAAAGGAAAAGAACAGCATCCATTACATGCTGAGGATAACTTTGAACCCTAGCCCCATGATTTCATTTGAGAGTGAACTTCACTGCTCTGTCAAGTAAAGTATGTTATCGATGTCTTCAAAGTGATACACATCCACAGCAATAAATCTGATCTTACACCATGAGATTCTTATTTTAACATACATCGAAAGCTTTCATTTCATTTTCCACTAGTACTTGCTCAAGATAGAAAACCTGAAATATAAAAAAGTGCCAAGAAAACAAAGATAATCCTTGTTACTATTTCAGTATATTTTTAAATTCTTTGCAAATGTGTAAATGTATGGTAATATTGAAATGCACACCATCACTGTGACATAAGAGATGTTTCATATCTTTACCATGTAATATAGATCGTGAGTTTTATTCAGATTAACTATTTAAAACCTATTTTTAATGGGTGTACAAATCACCACTGAATGAATTTGCTCTAAATACTTAACAATGACCTAACAGGCGGAATTCAGTGGACCTTCCTCTATATTTTTCTCTGCTGAATAAATAATGCCAGGGGTAATCCTCCTTCTAGATAATTAATCTTCACCTAATTCAAATTCTTTCCTTAGGATATATTAGTAGAAGATGAATTACTAGATGTTTTCTGATATTGTCATGGGCTGAATTATGTCTCCTCAAAATTTGTATGCTGAAATCCTAACTCTCCTCGAAATGTGCCTCCATTTGGAGACAATCTTTAACGAGATAAATAAATTAGAATAAGGTCATTAGGACAGGTTATAAGAAAAGAGGTTTTACAAGAAGAGGAAATTTGGGCACAGGCACAGACAGAGGGAAGACCAAGTAAAGACACATGGAGAAGACACTATGTATAAGCCCCAGAAGAGAGACTTTAGGCGTCAATCCTGCCTGCACCTCGGTGTTGGACTTCTGGCCTCCAGAACTGTGAAAATTAAATGGGTTAAGTCTCTCAGTCTGGGATACGCTATTATAACACAGGTATGAACAAATATTGTCAACAATTCTGTCCAGTGGCTTTTCTAAAAGTTTGTGACAATAAGTATTTGATGGAGAAAACCTCACTCACTAAACCTTTGTCTATTACATATTTTTTAAAACTAAGAAACTCAATTGATAGGATAACATTAAGGAATAAAAATGATAATGTTCACAAAATAATAACAATAGTAATCACAATAGAGAAAGCCTCTATTTATAAATACAGCCTTGACATACTTTGCTCATCTAGAAATGAGCGTTCTCTGAGAAGTCATCGCATTTCTCTTGACCACAGGTTCCATGCCTTTAAAATGAGAGCTTACACTTAACCATCATTAAGAGATAAGTTTGAAAATTCCATGTTTCTTCTCTCAATGACCTTCAGTTGTTCATAACATTATACAAGGTCATGGTAGATAGCCAGCCTATCTATTAATTGATCCAATTTGGACCACACTAATGTCCTTCCAAACACCTGCCCTGGACATGTCATGACAGAAAAGAAAGCTCACAGGACTGGAACATGAAAAACTGAGCATCAAATCTACATCTGCTATTAAGTGCTTATGTGGTCCTCTCAGGCCATATTGGTCTCTGTGACTCTGTATCCTTCTTGCTTTACAAAAACTTTGCTGGGTGGCCAGTGATAGAAAAATTTCAAATTAGATAAATGCACATATGTGAACATGTATCCTCAATCCCTACCCTCATACTACAGAGAGGAACAAAAGAAAAACAAAAATAAAGTAAAATTATGCTTATTATATTAGTATATACAAAGTATTAAATGAATGAATGTCAAATAATGAGTTCATGTTATTAATGCACTCACCAATTATTTTTGGAAAAGTCAATTTTTGAGAAATTCAGTAGAAAGGAAAATTCTTTCCAAAGATTACATTTCAATTATTGTCTTTGACTATGGACCTACTACCTACTTATGGGCTCATGGCCCCAGCTGTAGATCACTCAGGTAAGTAAGGTTCTAACAATCAGAAATCTTAGGACAGATATGATGGATCACATCTGTAATCATAGCCACTTGGGAGAGAGGAAAACCACAGTTTGAGGCCAGTTAGGGAAAAAATTGGGGGAGATCCTCATCTCAACAAAAAAAACCCCAAAAAACTAGGCATTGTGGTGAGCACCTGTCATCATAGCTACTTGAGAGACATAAACATGAGAACCAGGAGGATTGTGGTCCAGGCTGGCCTGGGCATAAACATGGGACCCTATTCAAAAAACAAATAAAGGAAAAGGGGCTTGGAATGTGACTCAAGTGGTAGAGCGTCCATCCTAGCAAGTACAAGGCCTTGAGTTCAAACCCCAGTAATATCACAAAAGAAATCTCAGAGAAAGTGTTTTCCCCTGCACCTCACCTGGGAATTAAACTCACTTTTGAGATAATTCAAATATAAAATATTAAAAATCTGTAAAAAAAATCACAGTTGTATCTTACAAATATTTAATTGCATTTCTAAATATGTGTAAATATTATTGTGCAATGAATGGAATGAGATAATTTTCAGCAGAAAATCATGTACCAGTGATACTTACAACACAGTTCTTATCAGGGTTTCTTTTCCAATGTTTCTTGCCCAGTTTCTTGGCTGAGGTGGAGTGCAGTGCTGCATTAGTTTGTGTTCGAGGATTTAAAGCCAGGATGCTCTAAAGACAGCAAAAAAATATACAAACATTTGTTAGTGGGGTTTTTTTTTTAATCAAAATTTTATTTAGGATTCTCCCACTCCTCCTTAAAGAAAGATTTAGCTAAGAGTGAAAACTCTTATGATACATGAGACCAAAAAAAAATGATTACATAAAAGCTAAACAAATTAGAAAATGATCCAAAGTTGGCAAGCTGGTGTTTAAGGCAACTAAGCAAAGAATCTTGTATTTTGCTTTTACAAAAGGACCTAAGAAAATTCCAATATGACAAAAATTAAGATGGAAAAAGTGAAACCAAATTTTTAAAGTCAAATAAGTTAGAAAAAAATTTTAATGGCACAAATTGACCAAAAGCTCAAACTAGATCCAAAGTATAGCATGGCTCCTTAAATAGTTACCTTATGTTACTAAACTTGAATACTCACCTTACATTAATATACTTATACTGAATAAAATATGAGTTAGTTACCCATACAACATTTTGTACTAATTTGCAACTCTTGGCAAAAAAAAATTATTCAAGAAAAACAAATATACATTATTCACCACCATCCAACAACAACAAAAGAACTATGTTTTCACCAGAGAGAAGGAACCATGGTGGCCAATGGCTCAGTTTAAGCCAATCAACATTTTACCCAACATGTTTCAACAATTTTTACATGTTGAAAAAGCTGTATGCATAACTGGAAAGATTAAAGAAGACATATAGGTTTTTGATTATTGAAGAGTTTTCACATGAAAAAGGGATTTAATTCATTTTGAATAGTAGAGAATGTAGGATTGAGATATCAGAAATTAGGGAGGGAGATGTGGATTCAGACACAAACTAAAAGGAGTCAGCTAAGATGGCACTAGAAAGAATACTGGCCATGATTATTGCAATCAACATGCACCTCAAAGTCCTCCTCTTCCAGGAGGGCTCCCCTAACTGATTTAGCTCTGGCATTTTTCTCCTAGAGTACCCACTTTTTCTCCACCGAGTCACTCCAAATTCAGCAATAACCTCTGCTTTAGAATTGTTCTTCCCTCCCCAACTGAGCATATTTTGAGTGGAAAAGTTAGAGAATTTTGCTTTTTAATCTTTGAGTCTCTGATATGCAACACCAAGCAGGTAGCATATGCTCATGTCTGTGAAAAAAAAAAAAGATTCAAAATTGTGAATTTGGTTTTTAATACTATTGGTTATATAACTTTCAGTAAACCACTTTTCCTTTTTGATCTTTGGTTTTCTGAAATGCAAAATGGGTTAACACTTAGACCAGAAGACTACAGCAAAAAATAAATGAAAGACAAGACACAACATGTTTTCTAAACTATAAACACCCTAAAAACTAAAGTGTAGTGAAAATGGAATTCAGAGGCTCTGTACCACACAATTCTCTGTCTGTGATTTGTTCATGAGGGGTGAGTAAGAACATGACAGGGATTCTGAGAATGGAATTCCATTAGGTTTAGTCAACTGAAGGTTCAGCTTCCAAGACTAGGTTTTATGGTTCCTTGAAAATTAACAGATTGTGCTCATCTTTATCACATATGAAAATGAACCTTCATTAAGAATCCCCCAAATTATCAAAAACTAAAATAGATGAGTAAAGAACATAGATTCTTATATTCCTACACACATGCTGAAAGTGTTCTTTCCCTCTCCTGTGATTTAATTACCCAGAACAATTTGCTGAAGTATCCATGTTCTACATGATAGCTTAGCTGATTTTGTAAGGCTACTTTTTACATGAAAATATGAAGGACTTTAAATCACATAAAATATAATGAATACCTCTCTACAGTGAATTTTATACTTGGTATATTTAGATAAGAATAAAAGCAGAAAGGGGACAACTTTTAATTCATTCTGCACTGGATTTAAAGAGGTAATAACAATACTCTCCATGTTAGAGTTTAAAAGTATTTTCACATGTATATAATCTTACTGATACACAGCTGCCATTTTTTTCAATATTTTGGATGAACAAATAAGTTGAGGTTGGATAAGTACCCTAGTCAAAATCTCAGAAGGGAATAAATTACAACGTTGTTCTTCTGAGAATGGAATTTGGATTTAAATTCATCCAACAGAAGCCCATATTTAAATGAGATTTTTGAGGTGTAAGGTAGAAAACATTTTAATCATGCATATAAGTAATATTAATAAGTAACCTAAGTAACCCAGTAAGAATTAATGTCAAAGCCTAACTAAGCAAGACTTTAAAAGGAAACCCCAGGAGATAATTTCCAGAATAGTGGCATCAGGACTTCTGCAGACCAATTACCTGTCAAACAAACTACTAATAATAACAACCCTTTAACATCTCTTACAGTCAAACATCAAAGGAAGGCGCATTAACTGAAGACAATCCACCTGAACTTGAATGGAAAGAGGGGTGAAGGTCCCAGGCATTTGGAACAGAATGTGTCACTGTTTCCCCCATGCCCAGCTCAGCATCAAAGTCATTCAACCTCAGATGAGAATAACCAAGATCATGGTGTCTCTGTCCCCCCAGCCTCCACTTGAAGCTATGGTATCTGCCAGACTCATCCCCCACTATGCAGCTGAGAGGTCAGGAGTTCCCTTCTTCAATCAGCAACAACAGAGAGGAGGCTCTTCCTTGGGTAACATGCCAGTGACTGTGTGACTTCACCCTTACTACACCTCACCCTTGGGGTGGAGTTGGCTCCCTATGAGCAGCAAGCTGAGAGAACCAGAGACTGCTTCCCACTCAGCACCCTGCTCATAAAGCAAGGTGCCACTCTGAGAGAAGCAGACCATTGTCACTGTCACTCCACTGTCTGGAGCTATAACCCAGCAACTTTCTCCAGAGGAGGAGGCAGCCATGTTAGCCAACAGTTCTCCCCTCAGAAAAACCAACTACACTTGAACCCATGTGTGGGGAAGTTCAAGCCTAAGGGTACTCTTAGGAACAATTAAGGCTTTGATGGCAAACAATTAAGAGGAAGCTGGCAGCTCTGTGACAGCAATGAAGGAATCAACTAAGGCAGATAGTTCACCTGGGAGAACCTGCAACAGAGATGGCTAAGGTAAGTCCTTCTGGGTCACAAAAATCCTCAAGGACTCATTTCAAAAACTACTTGTACAAGGGCCAAATTTAATTAAATCAGATTGTAGAACCATTTATACCCTGGGCACTATTTACAATAAGAGATGGGTGTGAAACTGACAAACACACAATGTGACAAAGAGACTCAGGTAAAAGGCAAGAAGCACCCTATAAAACCAGTTATCACAGAGCAAGTGTGCCCATGTTCAAGGCTGCATCCACTAAAGAGATCACAGGAGACTCATACACTTCCCTAAAGTAATCCATCCAGTTGCTAAACAAAAACACAAGCAAGTTCCCCACACCCCAAAATAAGGGATTAATACACAGAATTGCTACAAAATGTCATCTAAAATTTTACATTTTCAATAAAAATGTTAAGTCATATGCTATGGTCTGGATATGGTTTGAGAGTGTCCTCCAAGGGTTTGTGTGTCAGACCCCTGTACCACTCCCCCCCAAAAAATCAGAGTAAAATATTAAATTATATATCCAAAAAACTCAACAAATGCAAAGTAGTATAGATGCAAAGATATCAAAGAACATTAGTAAAAGTGTTAAAAGTCAATTTAAAAGAAAAATCATGAAAGTAGCAAGAAAGAAATAATTTGTCATGTACACTTCACATGTTTAACTTTTTTTTTTTTTTGCAGTGCTGGAATCTGAACTCAGGGCTTTGCACATGCTAGACAGCTGCTCTATCACTTTAGACATGACTCCAGACAAATAGTTGAATTCTTACAAAGAAGAATGGAGGCCTCAAAAAAGTAAGATGATATATACAAAGTACTAAAAGAAAAAAATTGTCATCCAAGAATCCTATATTCAATAAAACTATTTTAAGAAAATAAGGGTTAAATACAGGCACTCCCCCCAAAAAACATAAAATGAGATATTACTAGAATTGCTTTCCACAGGCAGAAGGTGATCACAAACAGTAATTCAAGTTCACATGAAAATAGCTGAACGTACAGCTCAGTAGTACAATGCTTTGCTATCCTGCATGAAGCCCAGCACTGCAAAAACAAGAAATCCACATGAAAGCCCAACGGCCAACAAAAACAAAGTATCAATACTTATGAAATTCTAAAAGTAATTATGAAGTGTATACTGTCAGAATAGATTTAAAAACAAGATCTAGCTATGTTATCATTAGTGGATACACTTTCGACTCAATGGCAAAAACGGGATGAAAGTAGAAGTATTAAAAAAGATGTACCATGCAAACAGCAACCCTATAAATACAGAAATGCCCACACTAACAACACAAGAAGCTTTACAATAGCAAAAAGTATCCCTGGACATACAGAGGGGTGTTTTAAAGGCTCGTGCATCAGGAAGCTCTGAACATGTATGTGCTTAACAACAAGGCAAAAATACATAAGGCAAAGCCTAAAAAATTAAGGGAAAACAGACTTCCAAATAATTATAGAAGACTTTTAAATAATCAGCAGAACAAGTAGACAGAAGAATAAGGAATTAGAAGATTTGATCAACACTGTAAAACATCAAGACCTACTGGAGATGCTTAGAACACACTACCCCAAATGAGCAGAATACACACTCTCCTCAAGTATGTCTGGAACATTGTCCAGAATAGATCATAGGCTAGGTGAAATAACAACCCTCTCTGAACTTCAAAGGAGTACATATCACACAGCAGCTCTCCAATCACAATGGAATGGAATCCGGTATCAATCACATAAAGAAAATGTGAGAAATGCACCATGCATGTGAACATTGTAAACATTAGGATAATTAAAAGATAACAGTTTCAAACTACCATATACAAAGTATCCAGAACAGGCAAATTGAAGTGGGCAGATGGCAGTACCCTGGTGGTTCCTCAAAACTGGGAAGATGAAAAGCAAGTGCTAAAGGGTAGTGGTTTCTTTTTGAACTGATGAAGTCTGGCTGTAGTATTGATAGAAAAATTATGAATATGTTTTTTTAAAAGCCTTTGAATTCTATACTTTATAAGGATAAGTTGTGTGATGTGTGAATTATATGT